ATAAAACAAGATCTTAAATGACCGAGAAGAGAGGTCAGTTTTAAAAGAAACAAGAGAGAACGCTATAGTCGAATGCCTCGACTATTAGATACCCGTTACTCAGCTAAACAACTTAATATAAATATGCCTTCTTGTGTTTTTTTTGTTTTTTTTTTTTTAAATAATGTGAATTTTAGTGACTACAGGAAAAAAGGACAAAAAGTTTAAATTATCAATTTGAATTCGGCGATCTCTTAGTGCTGGCAGCTTTACAGCACGAGCATCAGCACCAGCGCTGCTTTAGCGCAGGCAGCTTTTGTCCTGCACCAGCAGCTGTGTTTATGTTTATGTTTTTGAGTGCGTATAGTGGGTATAGCGAATAGCTTTCTTTGAAAGGAGTTATCTTTGCCGGACAATTGCAACTGTGTACAATGTAAATACATACATATGTATTCATACACACATACGCCATTGTTTGACTCAGACCTCCAATTTGGCTAACTAGATTTGATTTGCATAGTTCTTGGGATATAGTTCGGCATTGACAAATGAAAACGACCGCAATTTCCTTTAATAGAAATCCTTATCGAGAATTAACGTTGACTCTGTTGAGCACCTTGGCCAGCTGTTCCAAAGTCATCCGTTAGATGGCGCCATGAAAGGCGGAAATGTAGGCGCTAGCCAGGCTTAAGCGTTTAATGGGTTTTTGGGCGTTGGAGTGGGCGTGGCAAACTTTTATTAGGCCAATCGATATTTATTGACGAAACGAATACATATCAATTAAAATTTTCATAATATCATCAAAACGGTGGCCACAGCTTGTGGCTTGTGGGCGTCAGAGAGGGCGTGGCACCATTTTGAAACAAACTTGCGCTGCGTAGGAACTCCTAAAATCTACATGCAAAATGCTAATCTTCTAGCTTTTATAGTTTCCGAGATCTCAGCGTTCATACGGACAGACAGACGGACATGGCTAGATCGACTCGGCTAGTGATCCTGAACAAGAATATATATACTTTATAGGGTCGGAAACGCTTCCTTCTAGCTGTTACATACTTTTGCACGAATACAATATACCCTTTTACTCTACGAGTAACGGGTATAATTATACAAGATCCCTTCAAATCTGCTAAAGAACTTAAGATTTCTTTACAAAACCGAACTGGCAAAGACGTTTGTCTCAATACTGTGCGTAACACTTTACATAAATTTGATTTCCACGGAAGAGTTGCGAGGAAGAAGCCCTTTATTAGGCCCAAGAACAAAAAATCGCATTAAATATGCAAAAGAATATTTGATTACAGCAGGGGATTTTTGGAAGACGGTAATATAGTAGTTATTGAGTTAAAAATAAGTTTTTGTTGATTTTTATTAAATAATTAAAGATTCTATTTACTGATGAGAGTAAATTTAATTTACATGGATCCGATGGAAAGAAGTTTGTTTGGCGTAAACCAAATACCGAATTTGAACCCAAAGACACAAGACCACAGTAAAGCATGGAAAAGGTTCTGTGATGGTTTGCGGCAAGAGAATGTAAAGCAATGTGCTCAGAAATTGGGTATCGCTAACAACTTTGCCTTTTACCAGGATAACGATCCTAAGCACACATCGGGCGTTGCAAAGCTTTGGTTGATCCATAACTGTCCTAAAGATGTCGAAGCGCCAGCGCAAAGCCCCGACCTTAATGTAATTGAACATCTCTGGTAAGAATTGGCTAGAAGAGTGTACCAAAAGAAATTTAACACTATAAATGTCCTCAAGGCAGCTTTGATGGTAGCATGGAACTCCATTGATTCGGAAGTGTGCGAAAACTTGGTAAAATCCATTCATTTGTGAGGCACTGTAAAAGCTGCCCCACATCCAGCGAGTAAATTTAAGATATACATATACATACACATATTGGTAGATAATAATAGCCCGGCTGGCTATATAAGCCCGGCGGCTGCCAGTCCCGCTTCTCTTTCATTCGCCACAAGTCAAAGACCAAACATCGAAGCAGAGAAAAACCACGCAAGGACACCAAGGATACGCAGGACATCAAGGATCAGGACGAAGGACCCTAGTGAGTAGAGTGCGAGAGAGATAGGGAGAGACAGGGAAAGAAAATAGTGCGGCTATGGAAAATATACATATAGAAAAGAGGAAGAAAAGCCCAAAAAGATAACCAAGAAAAATAAAACAAAACACGGACAATAAGAACAGCGAACATACACCGAGTTGGATTTATTTCTTCCCTGACCCTCAAAGCCCTGATCCGCGTGTGCCAAACTGTGGCCCAAGCTAAGCCGGTTGCGTTTTCGAGAAGATTCCTCTGCGCAACTGGACTTTGGTGGCAACCACGTGCACAGACGTGAAGGCGTGTAAGTACGGGTTTTCTTTCCGCTTGCATAGCTTTCCGTCTCGGTTTCGACCGACGCACACCCATCCCAAACAGTGGGAGCCTGTCCCATATCTGGGAGCGCTGACTTCTGTCCATGTTTAGAGACGATTCCTCTGCGTGGGCGTGAAACAGCGCCCCAGGCGGCGGGAGTTGACACAGTGGTACGGGCCAATCCCCCCCACTGTGCCTCCTCCGGCACGCACGTGACGGCTTTCACTCGTTCGCGTCTGGCCAAATCCGAGTCCCAAATGCCTGCTCTGACTCGCCAATAAGGCCCGCCGCGCGCATCGCGTTGATCGGCGACTGCGTCCAGGTTGCCCGCCTCTCCTCGTCCCCGCTTATTTACAAATTCGATTGTAAAGCATCCTAGGGAGACTGAGCTCCATCCCAGCCGTAGAAACATCCTTACAGAGTGGCGCCCGAGCGGAGGACGAGGCGGGGCCCACCAAATTTATGGCCTAAAGACCCATAAGACGCCGCTGGCCGTCGCCGAGCCGCCCAGCCACCCAGAGCGCCCGGCATCGCCGCAAACCGCCCCGGCACGCGTGCCGATCACGGCAGCATATATAAATCCTGGCCAGACACCGCTTAGGCCACCAAGGGGCACCGCGCACACCAGCAGCGACGCTATTTTTTCGCCACAAACAGGGTCGTCGCACACGTCAGACGCACGCCAGCTCAGCAAAACAAAAACGCCAGCTCCGGCTGCTTTACGCCGCCGCCAACGTGAGCATTGGCCATCGACGCCACCGATCATCACCAGACCTCGGCTCGGCTGCACAGCGCCGCCACCAGGCCTCGTTCCGGCCACCGACGCCGCCGATCCCCACCGGATTTCGGCCAAGCCGCCCAGCATCGCCGCCAACGTGGTCGTCGGCCATCGACGCCGGTGATCCCCACCGGATTTCGGCCAGGCCGCCCAGCATCGCCGCCAACGTGGTCGTTGGACACCGACGCCAAGGATAAAGGAACTGGACATCAAAAACCACCCGGAAACCCACGCCGGACGACAACCTGGAGGAATTAGTCGTAGCAACCGGAAGTGAGGAAAAGCCGGCCACCATGGGCGTCCGCTGGATCTCATATCGCCGGAAAGAGGAACTGGAGGGACTCCTCAAGGAGTTTGGACTAGAAACGGCGGGAACGGTAGCCGAGCTGCGAACACGACTAGCCGACTTTATCGGGAAGACAGAGCATGGCCAGGCTACGCTGTCTCGACTCGCACAGCTAGAAGCCCTCTATCCCGAGGCACCATCCGCGAAGGAAGTGCAATCACGGTCCACGTCCCCAATGCCGGAAGCAGGGGGCATGAAGCTGATCGTACCCGGGCGGTCATCCTCACCATAACGCATGACCACCAGCGCGGAAGCCCAGAATGCAAACACGGCCTCCACTAACCGAGCACCGCGCGATGCCATATGCGCAGCGGTACTGACCGAGAAGCTACGGAGCTGGGGAATTCTCTTCGACGGACAAACGGACCCGGTCCATTTCGGGGAACGAGTCGAGGAAGGAGCAGCCGCCTACAACGTCCGGATCATCAGTTCTCCACCCTCGAAACGCTGACGCAGCTCGCCACCGCATATGAGATCGCACGGGATCGGGACCTGATCCGGCACGCCGCTCTCGCCCACTTCGCCACCATGGGGTCGGACCAAGCGCAAAGGTCACCACCATACCCTAGGACTACGACTGCAAGAGAACCCAACGCCATCCCCCTGCCCATCGGGGCTACGAATCACATGATCTCCGACGAGGACAGCCGGCCGGTGGACATACAGCGTGCCTGCCGCCGCTGCGCAGAGGTAGGCCACTTCGCCAAAGAGTGCACTCGGCCGCCCCGCCTATTCTGTTGGGATTGCGGACGCAGAGGCGTGCGGACAGTGAACTGTTGTCGGCAGTCGGGAAACGGACAGCATCCCCGCTCGAATTAGGAGCGGCCGGGGACAGCCAGCACACTTTCCACCGCTTCGACTGGAGAACGGGCGGATAGTAGCGACGATTAGCATCGACGGACGACCATTGCTGGCCACGCTGGACACTGGAGCGTCGGGCAGCTTCGTGAGCGAGCGAGTGGCCCAAACTCTGGCCACCACCACCAACTAGAGGGCAGTGCGAACGCGGATCTCCTTGGCTGACGGCTCCTCCCAAGAAGTTACCAAGGCCGTGTGGGCACGCGACAAACTGGACCATCAAGAGGCCGAGCTACCCCTCCTGGTGTTACCCACGATCCTGGCCGACGTTATCCTAGGGATCGACTTCTTGTGCGTCATCCAGGCGTCCCTGATCTGTGGTCGCACTTGCTTGCGACTCTTTCCGGCGCCCCCTCGAGATGCAACGACGATAACCACGCCCGAGACACTGCCTGCAGACCCGACAGCCGCGAACCTACCCCGAGCGGGTGTCGTAATCAGTGGATACCCACGGGACCCACTCCAGCAGTCAAGTGACGCCACAGCGGCATCGGGCTCTCAGGCTGTGTTATCATCGAACTCTCGAGCCACCAAGGATGCATCCTCATCGCCAGCGTTATCGTCGCCAAGGGCCACCGGAGATGCACCCTAGTCGCCATCGTCATCATCGCCAAGGGCCACCGGAGATGCACCCTAGTCGCCATCGTCATCATCGCCAAGGGCCGTCACGGCCACATCATCGTCTCTACCGGCTCCAAGGGCCACCACGGCCGCATTGCGCCGCCATCGGCTCCAAAGGCCACCGCGGCCACACCATCGTCGCTGCCGGCTCCAAGGGCCACCACGGCCGCATCGTCGCCGCCATCGGCTCCAAGGGCCACCGCGGCCACACCATCGCCGCTGCCGTCTCCAGAAACCACCACGGGTGCATCCGCGTCGCCATCGGCATCGTTGCCACCATCGGCTGCAAGGGCCGCCACGGCCACATCGTCGCCGCTGCCGTGTCCAAGGACCACCACGGCCACCTCATCGTCATCGTCATCGTCGCCAAGGGCCACCACGGCCACATCATCGTTATCGCCGTCTCCAAGGGCCACCACGGCCACCTCATCGTCATCGTCATCGTCGCCAAGGGCCACCACGGCCACATCATTGTCATCGCCGTCTCCGAGGACCAGACCGGTCACCTCAGCAGCGGGCTCTCGAGCCATGTCATCGTCGTCAAGAACCACCACGGATGCATCCTCATCGTCATCGTCATCGTCGCCAAGGGCCACCACGGCCACATCATCGTCGCTGCCGCCTCCCGGGGCCACCACGGCCACATCGTCGTCGCCATCGGCTCCAAGGGCCGCCACGGCCACATCATCGCCGCTGCCGTCTCCAAGGGCTGCCACGGCTACATCGTCGTCGCCGCCGTCCCCGAACTCTCGAGCGGTACCAGCCGCACCCTCCCGGCCTCCAGGACGACCGGGTCCAACTATGTCATCCGATCCCCCGCCGTCTGCGGTTACCGGAGGGGCCAGCGAGTACGGATTGACTCCACTAGCGGATGCAGAAGTGGCCCGTGAGAGAAACTCGATAAGCCTACGGCAAATCTCGCCGCCATCGCCGAATGTCTGGAAGAACAGCAGCCACAGACACTCACCGGCGAGCCTATGGAACCCTGAACCCTAGCGTTCCTCGAGGAGGAGCTGAAGCGATTCGACGGTTTGGCCGGGGTGACCCACATCGCGGAGCACCAAATAGTCATGCGGGACGAAAAGCCACTGAAGCAGAGGTATTTTCCAAAGAACCCGGCCATGCAGCAGAACATCAGGGGAGGGGGATGGGAGGATCGAGCCATCACGGAGCCCGCATAGTGCTCCCATTGTCCTGGTGAGGAAGAAGACTGGGGAAATGCGAATGTGTGTCGATTTGCGGCAGTTAAACGCACACAGCGAGCCGGACGCGTACCCGCTTCCGCGCATCAACCACATCCTGGAGCGCCTGCGGAACGCGCGCTTAAAGCCCTGGATAGCGTCATCGGGCCAGACCTAGAGTCTCACGCTTTTGCCTACCTAGACGATATCATCGTCACAGGAGCTACGCGGGAAGAACATATGCAAAACATCAAGGAGGTCTTCAAGCGGCTTCGGAATGCCAACATACGGCTGAACCGGGACAAGTGCAAGTTCTTCTACCGAAGCCTAGTGTACTTGGGGCATGTGATCAGTGAGGCCGGTATCCAGACCGATCCGGACAAGATCGCGGCCATAAAGGGGCTACAACCCCCCACCAATTGCAAGGAGCTGCGGCGATGTCTGGGAGTCGCTTCATGGTATAGGCGATTCGCTGGGCTCTGGAGCTCCAGCAGTTCCAATTCGACGTGCACTACAGGAAGGGTATACAGAACGTGGTCGCTACAGCACGGCCTGCTACCTAGTGACCGCTTGGCTGGAGAGCGTGGCGACGCCGGCATTCGCTGAGGGATTTGAGGAGAGATGCGTCCAGGAGAGTCGTGCCTGTGTACCACACCCGGCACCGTCTACAGACGACTCGTCAGTTGGAGAGGATGACCGCTTCGCGACTGGAGGCCCACGCGTGCCCCTCCAGCGCTCGCTAGCGGAGGCCAACGACGCTTGGGCCGGTTACGCAGCACGGCCTCGCACCCCCACCGCCTCGACCGCCTCACGGGAAGCCGATGCCACCGGAGACTCGTTTACGGGTACTTCGGTGAGTGGATCCCTGAGCGACGACGCCGACGCGGAGGCCGTAGGGACGGATCCCACACCGGACTGACCGACGACGCGGGATACGCAGCCAGAAGAAGCCGAAGCCAGGACCCCGAGTGTCTGGGGACTCGGGGCCCAGCCCAGATCGAGCCACTTCCAGCTACCCCCGCTGGCTCGATTCCCACCCGTCGGGACCGGAACTGGATAGAGACGGAGGTGCACGCGACCCCAGAGCAAGGCCCGACGACACAGAGGATGCCGATATCCTAGACCTGGGTCTCTTCCCGGCCGGACCAGAGGAAGACGCACTCCTGCAAGCGTTACGTGAGCACCCGGGAGTAGAGCAACTCCTCGACGAGGATGATTGGATCGTCACACCGGCAGCATGGAGGGTGGACACGAACGAGCGTCGTTTCCCCCGCGCCATCGTGGAGTACGTGGAGGCCCACGACCGCACGTACGTTCGTTTCCTGCGGCACCACCAGGATCACCGATTCCGCGTCACAATCACGGCCCGACGCGGCATCGCCATCTCGCTTCGCCACCCCGACGTAAGGGGGGTGTGAGGCGACGTATAAGCTGCCCCACATCCAGCGAGTAAATTTAAGATATACATATAAGTTAAGCACGAGTGACTTCAGTATTTAAAAAAATATAAATTTTAGGACACTTGGTCCGTATTTATTTGCACAAAAATTGGAACTAAATTATGTTTAAAGAAATTGCCATATTTATACCCAATAACTTTGTCGCTGCCTCTGCCAACGTCGGAGCTTTGTCGTTGTCGTCGCTGCAGCGGGAAGTGGTTCAGACGCTGCAGTCAGCACTTTTTTGGGGGCTACTAACCGAAGCCGGGAAGTTGCCCTTGCACTTCTACTTGCTGGTGCAATACCGGATGCGCGTGGCCAACTTTGGTTGCGAATTCGTTTTGTGTTAACTCCTCCACCTTTAAAATCGAGTGTCCACGCTCGATGCGGTCATTGATCTCGTTATCAGAAGCTATTTTGTTGATGTGCAGTATTTTGACCCTTTTAATCAAGAAGCGGCTAGCTAGTGCAGTTAGTCCGATGATTATTATGGAACTTATTAGAAAATCGGCTGTATGCGATGTTGTTTTTAACAGTTCCAAGGTCTTGGTATTGTTGATGTTCAGTTCTTTTACCAATTCTAATGATAGCTTTTCTTCTATCTTTTTAATGGTCATCTCAGTTTGGAGAATTGCTGGCATCGGGTGATAGTGTACCGTGTCTTTGTTGGTGAAGGTCTGTCCATCAATATTAATTGTGGAATTGCTGAAGTTAATAACAAAGGTTCCGTTGAGACTTGTGGATGTCCCATTTATTTGTACGTTGCCGGAGAATTTGTGGAGTAGAATGACTCCAGGTGCGAGTTCGTCAATAACTGGAATGTGTTGGTTGTTGATTCGAGTGCAGGTGGCAGGGCGACTTTTTAATAAATTTGGTAGGCAAGAGGAATTACTTATGTCTATCATATTTCTATGTTTACAAATGGTTATCTCATTATAATTATTACATTTGGAAATTTTTGCAAATAGTTTTCCTTTACATTTGATTACATTTTCGCTTCGAATTTTATTAACATATTGACCAATTTTTATTAGTTTGATTAAAAGTTCTTCACAATAGTTGGTGTCGGTTATAGGAATTTTAATGAAAAAAAATAAGTGTTGGCCCATTGCTTGCTACGCTTACTTCTGCCATTTTCATGGCGTCTTCAAAATTAGTGTATGGCAACTGGTCTTGATCAAGTGTTTTTATAACTTCATTTACCTCTTCATCTCCTAATATCTGGGTGTTACTAATATCTGCTTTTGCCCATTGTATTGCGTGGTTTAATTTGACAATTTCTTCTTTAAGCATTTTAATTTGAAACATTAATATTGTGCTAGTGTCTCTTTGAGGGTCTCCTCCGTATTTTAAGCTGTTTATAAGATTTGCATTGGCCTGGGTAATATTATTTATTTTTTCTACGATAAGTCTGTTTAGAATAACTTGATTGTTGTTGTTAGTTAATGCTGAATTTATTTTTTCTTGAACTATTTCGAAATCTCTACTGTCGGGAGATCCAGCTAACCATTTCCAGGCGCTGCCTAATAAATCTATATGTCTTTTCCTTCTACTCTTAATCTTGAGGTTATTAATTAAATTTTTTGAAATTCTAATTTCTTCGGTTATAAATGGCAATATTGGGTCGTATGTTTTTAATTTATAGTTAGCAGTGTAATTAATTTTTTCAAGTGTTTCTTCGTATTTTTCTAAGTCAATAATATAAATTAATCTGAAGGTTCCCGTTTGAACCTTTGCCAGTCCGGTAATTAGAGTCACGATATTGGATTTCGTGTAGTCAGTTATTTGTACGTCAGCAGCGCACGCAGTGAAAAGGGTTCTGTAAATGTGATTTAATTTCGAATAAGTTGTTTATGAATAATTCTTCCAGTTTCTGTTAGTACTGTGGCGTTTCTGTCTTCTTTTACGGTTTCTTTTTTATATCTGGCGGATAGTTTTGTACCTAATCTTTTATTATTTTGAACAAATGTCTCATCTCCTGGGGAATATTTTTTTATTTGATCTCTACTTTTGTTATGGTATGTTAGGTCTTTTTCCTGAGTGGTTGTAATTCTCTCTGTAATTTTTTGTCTCTCTGTTTGTTGTAGTTTAGGGTTAAGTGCTACCTTTCTTCCAAAAAATAAGTCAACTGGTTTTCTGTTAGTGGTTGAGTGTATTGAATAATTATATTTGACAACTGATCTGTCTATAAGATCTTTTAACGAAGCGTGTACTTTGTCGGCCTTTTGGCACCGAATAATTTCTGACAGTGTTGAATGGAAACGTTCGATTTGGCCGTTTGCTGAACTGTTATATGGAGGTGTTTTGTTAACTTCGATATTAAATTGATATTGTAGCATCCGCATTACGGGAGCCGAACCAAGTGATTTCTCATTATCCATTAATACTATTTCTGGGATACCAAAATTAATTAATAAATCTTTTAAAGGTTCTTTTATGTCTTGAGTTGCTCGAGATTTGACTATCCTAGCCTGTGCAAATTTTGAAAATTTATCTATTGCAGTCAAAACGACTTGTTTGCATGTGAGGTAAAAATCAACGTGAATAATTTGACCTGGGTATTGTGGTATTGGTGTTTTTTGTAACTCTGGTTTGTTGGGGTGTCTTTCGTATTTATGTTCCTTACAAATTTGGCATTCTTTTAAAAGTTTTATTATTTTGGCCATCATGTGTGGGAAGTAAATTTTGTTTAACAATTGTTGTTTGTTTTCATTGCTATTTCTATGTGCTCTTCTATGCTCTGTTATAATTGCATTCTCTTGATCAGTTTCGTCTTTTAAATCTTTAACTAGTCTGAGAATCTGGTTTTATATTTATTGAAAAGTGGATAGATTTCCTGAAGTTGACCTAAGGTTTTTTCGTCTGTATGAATTCCGTTAATGACGGACGGGTTGAGTCTATCTCTTAAAATTTTTGATAAGATTTCTGAATTAAAAATTGGTTCTGTAATAATGTGTCTATGGTACGTGGGAAAAACAAGTTCGAATTTATAGGAGGGTGTATTTCCTAAATATAATAGTATTTGATTTTTAAAAACATTTACTGGTTCTTCTGCCATTGGTATTAGTCTCTCAGGAGAACTAGAACTGCTGTGAATAGTGCCTGTTAGTGTGTTTACTTCCCCTCGCGTTTGAATGGGAGGTCTACTCAGAGCATCGGCAACAACGTTTGCTTTGCCAGGTTTGTGGAGCAGTTCGTGATTGTACTCCTCTACAATTGCTTTCCATCTCTTCATCTGATCGTTACGGCTTTTAGGGTTAGTTGGGTGTGTGAGAGATTCGTGGTCTGTAAATATTTTCACTTTAGTCGGACCGTACAGAAAATTTCTAAGAGTCTGTATAGACCAAATTATAGCTAGCATTTCCTTTTTGTTAGGGGCATAACTTTCTTCTGCCTTACTTAGAGTCCTAGAAATAAACATTATAGGTTTGTCTTCTTGGGCCAATACGGCACCAATAGCATAATCTGAAGCATCGGTAGTTAATTGAAATACTTTATTGTAGTCTGGATATGATAACATTACCTCCTCGGAGCCGAGAGTTTGT